ATCTTCAACGCCAACCTCAAGAGCTCAGTGCTACTGCCCTCGACTTGAAAGCGTTGCCTAGCTGGAAACGTCAAAGGGTGGGGGGTCAACTCAAAACCTGGCTCGACTAAGTCCATCAGGACATTGAAGTTGTTCTCGGACCTTCGGTATTCGGTCTCCGGCGCTTCCGAAGAGAATGGGTCGAACTGTCCAGGTCTGCGGCCACGGATCGTCGCGCGTAGAGAAACACCAAACGGGACATAATTGAGGCCGGCTAGATCAGTCACGATCGCAGCCGTAACAAGTACAAATACAAGTGAGATCTCGTAGCTCAGGTGGCCAGAACGCCGGCTGTATCCAAGCCTTACAACTTTATATTTACTTGTGACGGTAACGAAATCTTGTTTTCTGTCCTCTTTCCGATACCCACGAATACAGCAACTGCTTCTTTGTGCCGTTATTTCCTTAAATTTATTAAAAAAGCATGTCCAAAAATGGAGAACAGAAATCATAATTAACTGGAACTAAACCTCTGAGTTACGTCGTCTTTAGTATCTTGACTGTAGTCTGAATTTGATTTTGGCTTTTTTTAAAGTAAGGCAATTTTTTGAATAGCTGACGGAATTTTATTTGGACACTAGACCCCTGCACGGAATCCTATTATAGTGAAAACTATGTTGCGGCTCGATGATATGCGCCCTTATCCCGTCTCTTGGAATGCCTTCATGGACGAGTTTATTTTCTTTTCGTATAGGCTGACCTCCAAAGCATTGGCATAACCAGCGAGCTGCACATGCTGAGTCTTCGTCGTGGTCTCCAACTCCTGCGCCAAATAAATTTCGACCTTTCGCAGCTTTCTCGCCGGCCAGTATTTCGCACTCCGGAACCTGTCAAACGGTTGTCTTCCACCTCGCCGCTTCCCTCATCAGAGGCTTCCGCAGGAGAGGATGTCGAAGAGGAGGACGTCTTCAAGGCGCCGGCGCGCGGGTTCGAGACGAAGCAGCAAGAAGCTGAAGACGATTTGGAGACGGAAGTTGACACCTACGCTGCCCTGCCTGCTATTATGACACGCTCGG